ATGTGCTATGCTAGTTACAACACACCATGATTAGTGGGAATGCATGCTCTAAATAGGAATGCATTTTTTACTGAACTAAAGAAAATCAGATGAAAACTGCCCTTGTATATATATATCTTTTTTTCTTATTCTTTTTTTTTTTTTTTTAAAAGGGTATATCATTGATCAATGGAAAAAGAACAAACTTTTGTTTTCTGGGAATTCTGTGTCAGAGATTGCAAAATGATAAAGTTGTTTCTCCATTCTACGACATTTATAGGATTTTAGTAAGTGGATAAGAGTCTCCTGCCTTCCTGTCTCTTGAGGTGGTTTAGGACCCCCCACCCCCTTTTTTGAATGAAACGTACTAGTGTCTTGAGTTTATCTCAATTTGACAACATCTATGCTACTGGCAGAGAAGATGTTGATTAATTAAAGGACGATCCCCTTCACTAGACTAAGCTTCACAAGGGCAGAGGATATGTATTTTTTCTCTTTCTTTTATTTTTTTCATCAGAGTAACCTCAGATCCTACTATAATGCCTCAGCTGAGTTCAGCTGCTAGCAAGAAAGACCTAAAGTAACAGTAGTGGGATAGGGAGGGTGGGAGGGAGGGAGACGCAAGAGGGAGGAGATATGGGGATATATGTATATGTATAGCTGATTCACTTTGTTATAAAGCAGAAACTAACACACCATTGTAAAGCAATTATACTCCAATAAAGATGTTAAAAAAAATAACAGTAGTTATTTTAGAAACAAAACAGAAAAGAAGTCCAGCACTTCCCTGGTGGCACAGTGGTTAAGAATCCGCCTGCCAATGCAGGGGACACGGGTTCAAGTCCTGGTCCAGGAAAATCCCACATGCCGCAGAGCAGCTAAGCCCATGTGCCACAACTACTGAGCCTGCGCTCTAGAACCCGCGAGCCACAACTACTGAGCTCACATGCCACAACTACTGAAGCCCGCGTTCCTGGAGCCCGTGCTCTGCAACAAGATGAGCCCCTGCAGTGAGAAGGCCGCACACCTCAACGAAGAGTAACCCCTGCTCGCCACAACTAGGGAAAGCCCGCGTGCAGCAACAAAGACCCAACGCATCCATAAATAAATAAATAAATTTATTTAAAAAATAAAAGAAGTCCAGAGTTAGGAAAACCAGGTGACTCCCATGATTACTGGGGACCCAGGGTCCTTTTATTTCCTTTGTTCTGCCGTCCGTATTCCATGACCATTGTCCTTGAGGTACTTTATGGTCCAAGGTGACTGGACCACCAGCAGGAAAAAAGAGAAAGAGGGAAAGGGCTAAAAAGCTCCTTGTCTATTGTCTTTCGGCCTTTCAAGAAACCTTTCTGAAAGTCCTACCCGACAGCTTCCACTTCTCTCTCACTGGCTACAACCTCCTTACGTGGCCACCCCTAATAGCAAGGGGGTCTGGGAAATGTAGTCTTTTTTATTGGGCACATTGCCATGCTAAGTAAAAGCAGTGTTCTCATACTAACAAGGAAAGAGGAAGTGGTAAAACAAGATTAATAAGGACAACCTAATGAGTTTTTCGTGAAGCAAAATTTATTCAGTTTATAAGACTGTTCTTTGAGACTCCTTCCCATCTTTTTTGAAAGTCAAAAATGTTACTAAAAAAGTGAAATGATGGTAGATTCCCCCTTGCTCCCCAGTCTTTATTCCACCTAATAAACAGTTAACTCTGTTAGTCTTCTAATATTATTGACACTTTACTGGCCCACATACAGGGAACTCCTGGACTATATAGGTGAGCTGTGAGATTTCTCCAAACTCCAATATACTCAGACAGATCTGTGTTTTCAATGCAGCCTATATGCTTCATGCCTACTGCTTGGGAGGTTCTCATGAGGTATCCATTGATTAATTTATCAAGTAGGTTTTATCCAAAGTGCTAATGCCCAGTAACACAAAGAAGAGCTGCCACTGCCAGGTCCTTAGTCAGGGCTTGCTTTGCAGTAAGGGAGAGAAACCCACTGAAGTCAGAATAAGTGAGCGAGTGATTGTTGCAATAATACAAGGGAATCTCACCGACAACTAAGAACAGAAAAATAAGCTAGTCAGTTTGCCTTAAAATTGGGCTTAAAAATGGAAAGTTGGGAATGGTAACTACCCTCTATCTCTCATGGAATAACATGGTCTTTCAACATTCTCTGCCAACTAACTTTGTTTGCTACTTATATTTTTTCTTCCCCCAGTGTCTTTGGTTGGCATGGGGTTTGGCTTCTGTGATGTAGGGGTGGTACAGTCAGTCCCAGCGCTGCGATTTCAAATTCCCCAGCAACGGTTTGACTGGTTCAGTGGGGATCAGGTTACTATTTCTGATTCAAGTCGTTGTGGCAGGGAGCTGGGTGATTAGTACAAATATATTTTCCTAAGGTTCATTCTTTCAACAGAGCCTAGAGAATGAGCATGTTGGGGGAGGGTGGCAGTACCATGCAACAGTTATAATACATTTCCCTTTTTCTGTTATTTTCCACCTCTGGCAGCCCTGTTTCCTGACCTCAGGTGCTTTTCCGCCATCAGCGTGGCAGATCAAAGACTTTCACTATTACTTGCACCATTTCTTGATGCATTTCGTGCACAAGCATTATTATTACTGTTTTCATCTGCAATTTAACATTCATTTCCTCAGTCAGAATGTTTTAAGAGGAAAGCAGTGCGGTGATGAACATGCACAGCCTCTGGGGTCACATCACCCCTCCCCCACTTCTGCCCCACTAAAATCTTGGGAAGTGGTCTGGTACCCAGACTGGGGCAAGAGCAAGAGAATGGCAAGTAATAAGAAGCACCAGAATCAATCTACTTGTATTTGAAGGTATAACACCTATTAGTTGAGATTGCTCTGTGCATCAGTTTCTTTATCTGTGAAACTGGAATATTGTCTGCCACAAAAGATCACTGTGAGAATTAAAGAAAATAATCAGCCTAGTGCCTGGGACTTAATAAACACTTATTAAATATTCACAGTTGAGATACCAGCGGCAAATATTAGAGCCAAGGACAAGATAGTGTTAAGTGTTGGGGTGCCATATGAGAGCCGGAAACCAGGTGGGTGTCTGGACTAACTCTGGAAACATGAGTCTTACTACAATGGCTAGAATCCGAGACAGTTTATTCTATTTGTTTGTTGAATTTTAAAGGAAGATTTAATGTCAGTAACCTTGCAGCACGCAGCTGTGGTGTTTCTTCTCTCCAGAATGTAAAGATTCTAAAGGATGGATTCCATTAGAATAGATTCTAATTCTAATTGTGTCTAAGGATGAAATAATTTTCGCCTACACATGCCATTCTTCATTTTTGCCATATTATTTGTGTGATTTGACTCTACACTGTAACCAAAATTGTTTCTAGAACACACATACTCAACTTTATGAGGCAGTTAAAAATAGGATTCATATCTAAGTATTTTTCTCAAGAAACTTTTCAGGCATTTTATAGTGATCATCTCAGTATTAAAGTATTAGGATAGCTCCATACATATGGATGCCAGATAAAATAAATGTCTATAAATTCCCATAAATTTATATTTGGAAATTTATACTATACACGCTACCCATTTAGGTCTAAATTAGGCTTAAATATGATGTGCTTTCACATACAGTAACGAGCCATGCAACTCTTTATTAACCACTGAATTAAAAAGACATAAAACTACAATATGGCAAGACCTCAATTATTAACACTACAAACACTAGAAATGATTTTTCAGCAAATACTTAAAAGGACCTGAGTAACAAGACAGATATTTTCTCTAAAGAAATACATGGTTTAATTGCTTCCTTTGCTGGTAAACACAAAAGTTAAACTTGTCACATTAGGCGACTTTCTTCTTATGGCCAAAGTGCCGTGATGAATATCACTCAAGCATGTGTCTCTCTGCACAAGCCCTGCTTTAGATTTACTCACCTTGAACTATGCACACATCAAACAAGCAGAGACCGCTTTGGCTGGCAGGGAATATTTTCAAGAATATATTTAACACCTTATTTCTTGCTACAGATCCTGCCAATTTTGTCTCAAATTCTAGGTCTGGTTCCTTTTGCATATCCCTTTAATTAAAAAAATTTTTGTTGCTGTTGTCACCATTACCCTACACTCTAACTTTGTCACTTACAAGCTGTATAACGTTAATAGATTATCTAATCTCTGAATTCAATTTATTCGGTAAAGTGCGTATTTGGTAAAGTGGATATTCCTTTATTATAGAAGGCTGGAGGTGTCTGAATATTTTTATTATGTGTGTACATTGCCTTGTAGTAAATTTTTTGAAAGCACCTGTTAAGTTGTAGTTTTATAATTATGTCATTGATTTAAAAAAAAAATAAGGCTTAAGGTTAGGTAGTTTCCTCAAAAAATTTTTTTGTAAAAATTTAAACATCTGTGAAAAACCTTCGTGTATTACTAAGTTCGAGAATTAAAATTAAAAAAATCCACCAAGACACGCTAATACTAATGACATTAATGGAAGTTTATTTAAAAATGCTGTTTTCCATTTATTTATTTAAACCACTTAGGTTTAAATGCAGCGTAGAACTGATTTGAACCCCAATCAAACAGTGTATAGAACTGATTTTGGTGGTGGTGAGGGGCATCAACCCAAGAAAGATCCCTTTTTTGTGTGTGACCACACTTAGAAAATCATATTCTAGGCCTTCTTTCGAGGTTTTACCTTCTTGACCAAGACCCAATTTTTCTTTTAAAAATTCTCTGCATTTTGAACAGAATCTTGAAATAACTGAGCAACAACCGATTAAAAAATCCGCGTTTTTCCCCTCCAGGTACTTCCTGCGGTCTAGTTGGGGCCAGCGACACCAACCAGAGACCGGTGACATCTAAGGCAGCCCCAGCAGGCCCCCTCGCCGGGGAACCCGCCCAGCCAGACCGACTTCCGGTTGAGCCGGGGCCCCTACCCCGCCCCGCCCCACGAGCAAGAGATTCGTCGGAATTTTCCCGCGAGGCCGCGGGGGCGCGGAGCCGCTGGCCAGGCCCCAGAGTGCACTGCGGATACGTGCGCGCGCGGCTCCATTGACGAGCGACCGCGGGAAAGTTCTAAAAAAGTCAAAACAAAACAAAAAACCAGTACGAGGCAAAGTCAAATTTTCAAGCCACAGAACCAGGCGGTGGCAGCCTTTCCGCCACTGCCCAAACTGCAGAAGCAGCTCTGGCGCGGACCAGCTGGTAAGAGAGAGGCCGCAGAACGACAGCGAAGGCAGCTGCCTCCTTCGGGGGTCCGGCCGACACGTCAGCCTGGGGGTGTGGGTTGGGTGGGGGTGAGGGAGACTCGCTAGAACGTTCTCTCCGTTCCCCGCCTCTAGGTGGGTGAGCAGGGCTCGCGCTGTCTGCAGGGACTGAGGGGAGTGGGTAGGGGATGGGATGGCGCCAACCGTAGGGGCGGGGCCTCGGGCGAGGGGCGTGGTTAGAGGGCGGAGCAGGCCCAGGGGGTGGAGCCGACAGAGGGTCGGGGGTAGGGGGTAAGGGGTGGTCGCAAGGAAGGGAGTTCCCCAGAGCGTTGGGAGCTGGGGGCTGGCGTTTTGCTTTTCTCTGTTCATTGAGCCTAGGTTAGCTATGTCTTCTTAAGAGGACAGGAGCAAAGGTGAATTTCTTCGCCCTTGGATCCGTGGGAGATGTGAAAATCTCGCCTTTTAAAATTCATCACCCTTTACAGCTGGCCACATGCTCTCCGCACCGCCCCCCTTCCTCAGGGCGCTGGGAGCGGGAGGCCAATTACAGGAGCCCGGGGCGGGCTGTTACCCCTCGTACTCTGCGGGCTTTTCCCGCTGTGAGGGGAGGAGGGTTCTGGTGGGCGATCATCTCGCACTAACTCACTTTTTTTGAATGAAAGGCCAAATAGCGTCCAAAGGCTTTGAGAGGTTTTTTTTTGGGGGGGGGGGGGTCGGGGGTTGTGTTTGTTTAGCTTGCTTTTTTCGAATTTTTTTACGTGGGCGCGTTTACAACCGTGAACCCTCTGTGGTCATGTTGTATGGGCTAGAAAAGTCGGGAGGGGGAAAGATTTGGAGTTTTTAAAACATCAGCAATTTGGGACCAGAATGTCAAATAAAGGCCAAGGAATTTTCAGCAAAGACCTGTATGTGCCTCTACGTTTGTCCTAATCTGAAATTGTTGGAAAGCTCCCGGGCACCTGGTTTCATTCTAACCTGTGTCCCATTTAATGCATCTTAACTGAGATGTTACTGAGTTATTTATCAGAGGAGCAGGCACTTTTGGACCACCCAACTTCAGTTCTTTCTGGATGTCACTCACCTTTAGTGATGTGCAGCTCAGAACAGATTTTCATTACTCCCCTCATGAGAGGTGGAAAGGTTGTTACAAATGATAGAATTCATACTGTGTTGGGGTCATTTATACATAAACTTATATAAAAATATATTCATTGTGACTTTATCCATTAAGCTTAAATCAAATTGATGTTTCAATCTAATGTACTGTGCCAGATTCGCAGGGAAATAAGCCCTCATATACATTACTCATATACCTGTACAAGAAAGACTGCATCAAAAAAGAATTTGCTTTTCCTAGTTATATCAAAGGCCTCTTTCCCCCAGAGTAAAAGGTCCTGCTTCTTTAGAGTTGAGCTAAATTATACCTTGGTATATTATACATTTTAATTCATTCTTTTCATTATTTAGTCATATACCTCTTGATTTCTTGAAAAACGTTTACTAAGGCCCCAGAAAAGAAAGGCAAACTCTGTAGTGGAATATCTGCATTTTTTGTTCCGTTGTCTAATACGAAGCATTAACTTGATTGATTGGCTGGATGTGAAAGATGTGCTGCTGCTTGTATGTGAAACTGTGCATTTTAAAATAAATGGTACTTTTAACAAGTTCCATATTTCAGCAAGTAGTTCCAAGTAACACTTATACAAATTTTGTATTTATGAAAACCAGTTACAGGGAGGCTAGCCTAGCCAATAGAAAGTTGGATTGATTATCCAGGCCACAGTGACAGCTGAGGAAATCTCACATCTGTGGCAGTTCCAGGTTGGTAGTGGCGGAGCCTCAAGTCAGGCTGGAAATCAGCACCAAATGGATTATTGTTATTTTTTTAATTGAAGTATACTCGATTTACCAAAATTGTGTTAGTTTCAGGTGTACAGCATAGTGGTACAGTATTTTTGCAGATTATACTCCATTATAGATTATTACAAGATAATGGGTATAATTCCACATGCTATACAGTGTATCCTTGTTGCTTATCTATTTTATATATAGTAGTTTGTATCTGTTAATCCCATACCCCTAGTTTGGCCCTCCCCCCCCTTTCCTTTCCCCTTTGGTAACCACAAGTTTGTTTTCTACATCTGTACATGTTTCTGTTATTGCATATACCTTCATTTGTATTATTTGTTAGATTCCATGTACAAGTGATACTATACAGTATTTGTCTTTCTGTTTCACTTATTTCACTAAGCATAATATTCTCTAAGTCCATCCATGTTGCTGCAAATGGCAGTATTTCATTCTTTTTTATGGCTAACATATTGCATATATATACTACACATCTTAATCCAGTCATCTGTTGATGGGCACTTGGGTTGCTTTCATATCTAGGCTATTGTAAATAGTGCTGCTCTGAACATTGGGGTGGACGTATCTTTTCGAATTAGTGTTTTCATTTTTTCCAGAGACCGTATACAGGAGTGGATCATATGATAGTTCTATTTTTAGTTTTTTAAGGAACCTCCATACTGTTTTTCATAGTGGTTACACCAATTTACATTCCCACCAACAGTGTAGGAGGGTTCCCTTTTCTCTACATCCCTGGCAACATTTGTTATTTGTAGACTTTTTGATGATAGCCATTCTGACAGGTGTGAGGTGATACCTCATTGTGGTTTTGATTTGCATTTTTCTAATAATTAGCAATGTTGAGCATTTTTTCATGTGCCTGTTAGCCATCTGTATGTCTTCTTTAGAAAGATGTCTATTCAGGTCTTCTGCCCATATTTTGCCATATTTTGATTGGGTTGTTTGGTTGTTTTTTTTTTTAAATTTATTTAGTTTATTTACTTTTGGCTGCATCGGGTCTTTGTTGCTGCGCACGGGCTTTCTCTAGTTGCTGTGAGTGGGGGCTACTCTTCGTCGTGGTGAGCGGGCTTCTCATTGTGGTGGCTTCTCTTGTTGCGGAGCACAGGCTCTAGGCGCGCGGGCTTCAGTGGTTGTGGCTAGTGGGCTCTAGAGCATAGGCTCAGTAGTTGTGGTGCACGGGCTTAGTTGCTCTGTGGTTTGTGGGATCTTTCTGGACCAGGGCTTGAACTCGTGTCCCCTGCATTGGCAGGCGGATTCTTAACCACTGCGCCACCAGGGAAGCCCAGGTTGTTTTTTGATGTTGAGTGGTAAGAGCTCTTTGTACATTTTGGATATTAACCCCTTGTCAGTTGCATCATTTGCAAGTATTTTCTCCCATTCTGTATGTTGTGTTTTTATTTTGTCGATGGTTTCCTTTGCAGTGCAACAGCTTTAAAGTTTAATTAGGCCCCATTTGTTTATTTTTGCTTTTATTTGCCCTAGAAGACTGATCCAAGAAAATATTGTTGCAACTTATGTAAAAATATTCCACCTATGTTCTCTTTTAGGAGTTTTATGGTTTCGGGTCTTACATTTAGGTGTTTAAACCATTTTGAGTTTATTTTTGTATATTGTGTGAGGGAATATTCTTAGCTCATTGTTTTACCTATGGCTTTCCATTTCTTCCAGCACCACTTGTTGAAGACACTGTTTTTTCTCTATTGTATATTCTTACCTCCTTTGTCATAGAGTAATTGACCATTGGTGCATGGGCTCTGTATTCTGTTCCATTGATCATGTGTCTGTTTTTGTGACAATACCATGCTGTTTTCATTACTGTAGCTTTGTAGTATAGTCTGAAGTCCGGGAGGGTTAAACCTGTATCTTGTATCTTACAATCTTGCTGGTTTCATTTAGTCTAATAGTTTTCGGTGGAAACTTCAGGGCTCTTTATATAGAGTATCATGTCATCTGCAAATAGAGACAGTTTTACCTCTTCCCTTCCAATTTAGATACCTTTTATTTCTTTTTCTTGTCTTATTGCTGTGGCTAGGACTTCCAATAGAAGTGACGAGAGTGGGCATCTTTGTCTTATTCCTGAATTTAGCAGGGTTTCACCTTTTCACTGTTGAGTATTATGTTGGCTGTGGATTTGTTGTAAATGTCCTTTATTATGTTGAGATATGTTCCCTCCATACTCACTTTGATGAGGGTTTTTTTTGTTTTGTTTTGTTTTGTTTTGTTTTGTTTTTGCGGTACGCGGGCCTCTCACTGTTGTGGCCTCTCTCATTGCGGAGCACAGGCTCTGGACGCACAGGCTCAGCGGCCATGGCTCACGGACGGGCCCAGCTGCTCCGTGGCATGCAGGATCCTCCCGGACAGGGGCATGAACCTGCGTCCCCTGCATTGGCAGGCGGACTCTCAACCACTGCGCCACCAGGGAAGCCCTGATGAGGGTTTTTATCATGAATGGATGTTGAATGTTGTCAAATGCTTTTTCAGCATCTATTGAGATGATCATTTGGTTTTTGTCTTTTCTTTTGTTAATGTGGTGTATCATATTGACTGATTTGTGTATGTTGAGCCATCCTTGTGACCCTGGAATAAATAAAACTTGATTATTTAGGTGTTCCTGTATTGGGTGCATGTATGTTAACAAGTATAATATCCTCTTCTTGTACTGATCCCTTTATCATTATATAATGCCCCTTTAAAAAAAATTATTTTATTGTAGTATAGTTGCTTTACAATGTTGTAAAGCAAAGTGTACAGCAAAGTGAATCAGTTATACATATACATATATCCACTCTTTTTTAGGTTTCCTTCCCATTTAGGTCATCACAGAGCATTGAGTAGAGTTCCCTGTGCTATACAGTAGGTTCTCATTAGTTATCTATTTTATAAATAGTAGTATGTTTATGTCAATCCCATTCTCCCAGTTCATCCCACCCCCTCGTCCACCCTTAATAACCATAAGTTTATTTTCTAATCCATGACTCTATTTCTGCTTTGCAAATAAGTTCATCTGAACCATTTTTCTAAATTCCACATATAAGCAATATTATACAATATTTGTCTTTCTCTTTCTGACTGACTTCACTCTGTATGACAATATCTGGCTCCATCCATGTCTCTGCAAATGGCATTATT